CAAAAAATAGAGTCCAATCTATATCTAATATATGGTTTGGATGACATTGGACGGTATTATTAGGATTCAAAGGAGGGCTCTTAATGCCAATGTTTACTGATTTGTCAAAAGACCAGATAGCCTAGAAAAAAATTTGTAATGACTTGAACGACTTAAATGGTTTAGATCCATAAATAATATCAGGAAATTGGATGTTTCCCTCACATCTTTATCGAGGTTAAAATATGGATACCCATCCTTCAGACTGCTTAATCCTAAGATTGTTGTTTTATCACCTTGATTGATGATTCTTATTATTCTGCGAGACTCCTGGTGACATAATTTTGCCTGTAAAATCTGCAATTGTTTTCATACTCGGTTGATATCAGGTGTTTTTGTAAGCAGGTCACAAGAACAAGAATGGAACGACAACCAAGTACCAGAAGGTGAAGAAGATGTTTTTGTTTTAACTGATGAATGGATGGAGTTTTTCGCAAAATCTGAGGCTAAGAGAAAATTGGGTAAATTTATTCGAGTTATTATTATTATTATTATTATTATTATTATTATTATTTTTTATGTTATAGAATATAATTGTCAATTTACTTGAGAGAACCTTACCTGAGCTAAGCCTTACCTGCTTCGCCTACCTGGGTGGCAGCAAGGGCCTCAGTAGGTAGGGGTCCCAATGCTGGGGCCTTTCCTGCCTCCTCTTGAATCACCAAATCATCATTATTCTCTTTGCTTATTAATCATCTTTTTCTTTTAAGATTGGCCTTATGATTGATCTCTTCGCATGCAGCTAAGCAGCAGAAAAAGAAGGGCCGGAAGTGAATGTACACATACATCTATGGTCTAAAGCATCCGACCGAGTGTTAAAACATCTCAAGACACAGCCATTTCTTCAACTCCTCGGAAATAACAACATGCCCAGCTGCTGTTCCTGACCTCTCTTGATTCTGAATCCCAATCTCTATGGTGGTTGTCCATCTCAGTTGGTACACCTCTCGCTCCCCCATGCACTTCATCAAAATTGATGCTTCCAGTCTTGTTGTGTTGTTCAAATTTGGATGTGACAGACTCTTTTTCTGGCATTTGTTTCCTTCACTAGCTTTGTACTACAAAAAGGCTTCCAACCTGTATGACTGTGACTTTGATAACTGCCGTTTTATGTCCGACTTGTATTTGTGTGAGTGCTTTTGCTGTCGACACATTTAAATCATATTTAGATATATATACTGCTAGTGAGTGGTGAGCAATGAAATGGGTTGGAAGAAGATGCTCCAAAGAAGCTCACGACAAACTAAAATTTCTTTTGACGTTAGCTGCTGAAGATATTTACAGACCTCCATGACTGCCCTTCCCACTGCAACCACTCCCTAATTCAAACTACTACAAGTAGAAGACACTTTTGCTCATCTACTACCACCCTGGTTGAACCACAACTATCCGCTTCAACGGCTGCGAAACGTCGGCGCCACCAGCATGCCTGACGAACTCCACCGGCGTGAACGAGTTTCCATGACAAACGCACAGTATCCTCACCTCCGACTTGGTACACCGGTAGAGGAGACCGTGGATGGTCCTCCCGTGGGGCGCGTCGCCCGTGGCTGAGACGAGCGGCATTCGGGGCAGGGCCGACGGTTTCCCGGACTTGTTTACGGAGCCCGCGCGCTCCGGCTGAGCCCCAAACCTGGCCGGCTTGGCGTTCGACGTCAAGCAAGACGTTAGTGCGTTGTTGCCGCTACCTCCTTCCGCCGATGGCGGTGCTGCAGGCTTCTCTGCCTTTTGAAGGCTCCGATGGCTCCTGGAGTCGCCGCTACTGATGCTTCCTCCTGCATCGTCCAAGAAATATGTTCGGATTACATTGCTCGTGAATTGTTGACATGAGACTACTACCATGATACAAAGGTGCCTCTTTTTATCTAGATTTTGGATGATAAATCGATTTCTTGCACAATGATTTCGTTCAAGTTTCTAATATAATCTGACTCTGAATTAGGGAAATTGAAGAGAAAAGGAAGGCAAACAACAGATTTTTTGGAGTTGTAATTGAAATCCGAAGAAAGGGGAGAAATTTATACCTCCAAAGGATCCGCTCCGGCGATCGGAGATTGCAGAAGAGCTGCTCCCGGATGAATCCGAGTTGAGCGAGGTGTTCACGACCTTGGCGGCTTCGATCCCCTTACTCCCGCTGGAATCACCATCACACGGCCCTGCAGCCGTCCCCTGAACGGGGAACCCACGGCCGGACAACGGCTGGTACACCTTCCTTTCGAGCCGGTTCAGTCCGCCGGCCACCGCCGAGATGGTCGGGGCCCAGCACGGCATCACGAACGGGAACCCGAACCCGTTGGGCACCGGCACGTACTGCACCTGCTGGTGAGGGTACATCACCGGGAACGGGTGATGCTGGCCAAACCCAAAGGGATTAGGGTGAGCGTTAGGGTTGGGGGTGGAGACGGGGGCGACGCGGGGCCATCGAACGCCATTGCCTCCATCCGTGCGGCTAGGCCTCGACCGGTCGCCGGACAAGGCCTCCTCCTCCCTCACCGCCCGATCTCGCGCCCTAGACCGCAGCATCTGGGCATCCATCGCCGCGCGATCATCCGCCGATGCTCCGTCCGGGAGGTCAAAGATCCCACCTTTACGGGGTCCCTCCGCTTCCTTCCTCGGCTCGGGGGTCTTCCGGGTGCTCCCGCCGATGGCGAGGCCGAGGGTGAGCTCGACTCCCTCGCCGTCCTCCGCCTTCGGGTCCGCTGACGCCGCCCTCCTCGCAGGCAACAACTCCATGACCGCTCGGGACTTCCTCAGGGGTTTGCTGATGCTTCGCCTCGAAACAGAGTAAGAAGCTTCGTGGGAACTCCGAACGGAAAAGGACGGGCTAAATAAACACGTCGTTGCGCCCAGGGAAGTCCGACACGTGTCGTCGGTCCGACGATACGATGCGCTCCCGTGAGACCACGTAAGGGGCCTCTCTTGGGGGGGGCGGCGTTTCCCTCGCATCCCTTGCGTTACGTCACGTAACGCTTCCACGATCGGCTACGTGACGAGGAACATCAGGAGGATGCTCCAAAGTCGACGCGTGTGCTTCCGTGACACGTAGCTCAGGCGGCCAAGCCTCGGTTGCCTGTTCGGTGTTGCTGCTGCTCTGGGATGGGGGTCGTTTAAATCCCAGGGTTACACGTGGCGAGTAGAATTCCGAGGGAAGCGACGCGGGAGTTGGAGATTCTGTGATGGGGAGATGGTGACACGCGTGGGATCGGTGAGCCAGGTGGCTGAAGGAGCCATGGCCGCCGTCCGATTAGCGCGCGCGACGGTACACGTGATGGTGGCAGCGGGAACAGCGTAAAGGCAGACCACGCGTCGCGTGGCGAAAGCGTGTCTGCGTGGCAACAACTGTGTGGCTAAACTAGTGAGTACATCATAAAGAAGCCTAAACTGGATTCCCAAAGTAGGATATAAGCACATTTATCCTATGGTCGATCGAAGAAGAAGAAGACGTCCTCTACTCTCAGCACTGCTCTCTTTTAGTGTCCACAGGAGTTAGTTCCCTACACATCGAGGACCCAAATTCTTATGGATGGATAAATGATAACTCATAAAACTTCTAACTTGTTATGATGATGATTAGGGTGTCACTCTCGAGGAATAACTCGTGGAACTATCATAACAACCTAACAAAATGATGATAGAATAACAATCCACATGTCATGATCCGTATATGAATTGTGCATGTGTCATAATCAATTTTCCCACATAAAATTTACCATTTGATTTTGTTTTGTGTTTTGTTTTAGTTTATTTTTTTTTCCTTCTTTTTAAGTTTACATTCTTGAGATTGTCAAACAGTAAGTTACCTACGTATTGCTACAATTTAAAGAAATGCAATCACCAACATTCTTTAGGATGAATAAAAAGAAAAATTAAAACAAACTAACATTCTTTTTTGACGTACGCTAAAATCTCGGAAAAGAAGTTAATGGTCACAACAAAGGATGACGAAAATTAAACCGTGGAATGGACAAGATAAGGGAAAAGAGGGTAACTCGAGAAATAATCAATGAGAATAAAAAAGACATTCAATAGTTGATTAATAAAACAAGAAATGAGTCTATGGATCTCAACCCCAACCACTGCTCATTATCCACCCGCCCACCTGACCAAACATAAGACTCCATAACAGGGCATAATAAGCCAAAGATCAAACTTCAGAGAGTGTCATCAGCACTCAAAACTTTGAAGGATGATTTCCCTGTGTTGTATCTCAAGTTTACTTTTCTTTTTAATGACACGTCTAAAAGAGAAACATGGAATGAGCATAAGAACACCAAAACAATAACAACAATCCAGCAGGCAGGCAAGGAAGAAAAGAAAGATAAAAGATAATGACATAGTAGCCTAGAAATAACAGGAAAGAGAGATCCAAAGAAAAAAAAAAGAGGAGCCAAAGATGTTTGCAGGTGTCCTTGACGATATCAACATCCTACATCAGTAGATACAGGTCATAGCAGGTCTCTTGTGAGGCTTGGCTAAAAAGAAAAAAAGGAAAAGTGAAACATGAAATCATATGATCCCTCTGGAACAGCTATCAGGAGACTTGAGACCAGAAAGCAATAGGGAGGAGAGGTGTGTTCGAATGATCAACCTCACCATGAATTATAAACGTCGAGAACAGATACCCTACAACTGCTACGCTAGTTATTCTTTATTTGAGGTGTTAAGATGGAGCAGGAACTTGAGCAACATTTCTGGAAGACCAATTGCTGACATTTGACCCGCTGCGGTTTCCACGTCCACCACCAGATGCAGGGTCAACTCTTTGATATCCAACATCACCTCCACGGTTGGAATATCCACCCCTGACACCACCTCTGTGGCCAAAATCAGACCTGTAACCATAGTCTGCCCTGCCGTAACCCCTCCCGCCACCATAATTTCCACGACCTCTCATTCCATCGTTTCTGTATCCAACTCCTCTGCCAGGTAAAAACCTACCTCTGTTGCTAACTGCACAAAAGCAAATGAACAATTTCACTACAACGTACTAGAAAGAATTCCTAGAGAAGTGTCCAGGGTTCAAAAGAATATACAAAAAGCTTAGCTATGAACAATGCATGACTAGAGATGCATAATGCTATAAACATATACAAGCATTGACATCCTAAATTGGTAATTTCTGGAAGCAGTTTCAAACACTAAAGTTTGCAGCATGTGTAAATGCATATTTCAAAAACAATAGCCATCACACTTCCACTTAATCTTATATAAACATAACATAACAGCTCCCGTTTAACTTGCCTCTTGAGCTGTTAGGCCGTTTTTCCTCCACAAAAGCTTGGCGGCCTCCAATCATTATGGGAGAAGCCTGAAATGTGAAATAAACTACCAACATAAGTTTCAAATAAGTGTAAAGAAATAAAACCTGTCAAACATCAAATCAACAATCAAGCCAATGCAAATTTAAAACTCTCCTCAGTATATATATATATATATATATATATATATATATATATATATATATATATATATATATATATATGTATATATATATGTATGTATATATATATATGTATGTATATATATATATGTATGTATATATATATATGTGTGTATATATATATATATGTATATATATATATATGAAAATTCCTGACTTGTGATATATATCCTTTTATCTGTAGTAGATAACCTAAGTTTGATTGCTTTTCTTCAATCCAACAGCATATCTTATTTTTATAACAAACTGAAGTTTGTAAACACCAAGAACAAACTTTTAGTCATATGTATACAATAACAATTGAGTGACAAATATAAACAGTGGCCATAATTTAAGCTGTAGTGGAAGATGAAAGCTACTGCTGAAAAGTAAGCTTGGACATATTTATCTGTTGCATGAGAAAGATGATACTGAAAGTAACAATAAGATATCAAAGTTAGTTGATCTAACATTAGACAAATCCAACATGAGCAGATTTTTATGGAACAATTGAACATTGACAAAGTATACCTTCTGAAGACTAATAGATCTTGAAAAAAGACATTCTTAAAACTTGTAAAGAACTAGCATATCTGATATGATCAAGGAGGACATGGGCAAAGTGCATGAATCAATTGGCTAGAATGACTAAGACCTGAAATGTAATTGGAAAAGTACTGCTTATGACACAGCAAAATGGAGTTAGGCCCTAGCCCTATGACACAAGGATATCATCTCATGGCATGAGGATATCCAGTTCCTTTCTAGCAATACGAGGCATGCCATACCATTTTGCAAACTACTTATCGAATGTAGGCTAAAAGTTGGATTGTTCATGCTTTAGCATGATTGTCATGGATCGGAAGAAGATTTATGTGGTTCACTGTGTTTCAATATGTGCTGAATGCCACAAGTATCCTTGGTACAATATGAGATAGTATGATTATTTGGCTATATTGTGCCTACCTAAAAGCAACAAGATGGCAGCATTTAAGCCAAAAAAATTGTGAAAGTTCATTAATTCAGAACAATTAAAAAGAAGGCAAAATGAGTGTGCTTCATAATGGAAGGCAGACTTATGGCTTGAACCAATACACAGTAGTGACTAACAAACCATGAACACTTGTTTTCTTGGGCAATGAACCAGACCTTTTTCTGACCGTTTCACAACCATTCATATAGTAAGATGAATTTTATTAGTGTTTTTGCAGATAAATGCTACTTATAATCAAGCAGTAGCCTTGATTTTCATTAGTCAATTGAGATTCACAATCTTATAACCGCTGCTAAAATGGTAGGTCCTCAAAAGATATGCTATATGGAAACTAAATCTCATTGAATATATAGAAATACTATCTTGGCATCCAATGAAAAAAAAAAGATTATGTATTACTATCATGTGTGGTGTTTTTGACAATGTACAGCAACCTTTGTTAGACGTTATAACATTGCAGCTTCCTCAGATGACACACTATTATAAGCAGTTATCCTGAAAGGCTGACAGTACAGGTAATAATTATATGGGTCAGTGTTGCTAATGGCATTCCCTCAATCTTCAAGGCATTATTGATGTTTATGATTATTTAACCAATAAATTCTCAGTCCAGTGCCACTACCAGTTGATGACCAGACCGATACGGTAGTGACACAGATCAACAAAACTACACTCAGTATAGATTAGTATGCTTGGATCAAAGAAGAAAAAGGGAGAGAAAAAGGGGAGGAGGCGAGGGATATATGGAGGAGGATGCAAACTAGTAGGAGCATGAGGCCGTAACTCAGACAATGAGGTAGGAAATCCAGGCAAGAAGGAGGCAAATGAGGGGAGGGAGTAGAGAGAGAGACAGAGGAGAAAGAAAACAAAAAATTAAAGGAAAGAAGCAAAGAAAAGAAAGAGAAACGACAACTACCACAAATTAAAAAATAATGACTGATGTCATTACTGAATGATGAGGTTACCCTCGGTATGAATCAGTACCAATCTGCTTACTGCCTCGTAAGTCTGGTATGATGAGCTTCTGGGTGGTACATTCCATATCAAACTTAATGGAACAATCATCCAATCTGCATCCCAACTGGTTGTCGTACTAATAGGTATTGGGCTTGTACCAATCGGTATGGGTGGCTTTTTTGACCTTATTCCCATGTATAGATTTCAATAATTGTGCACATAATAATGTATATGTTCTTAGCTAAGATTTAGATACAAATATACATCGTATTATGTAGTGCATAGTGAATATTTTCAGCTCACTGTATCCATTGAGCACAAATATAGACTGACAAAAATAGGTTTCTGAACACCTCGCAAAAGAAACACTGAGGCACATGGCACCTTGGCTCAACTATTGTGCCTTTAGTCAAGAATCCAATGCTTTAATGAGTATCATGTACCATTAGCCAGGCACATGAAAGATGTGCCTCATAGGCATAATGTTATCTACCTTCAAGTAGTGTAGATTAGATTTATTGTAAATGGGGATCATTCATTGAGGGAGCGTGATATTCATCTCTTCTTCTACTCATGCTAGAGTAGCTAATGTTGTTCTTCACCCCTTAAATATTTTCCGGTTCTCTCTGTTATTTTGTCTTTGTTTTCTTCTCCTTTCCTTGTTAGCCTTTCATCGTGTTCATTGCTCCTCATTTTTTTAATTATTCAGGTACCTCTATGCTTAACTTTATTCCTTTTCTTTTATACTTTAAAGATTTTCTCTTGCTTTCCTATTTTTTCATTGTTTTGTCATTTTTTACAGCTACCCTAGCCATGATGTTGCCTCTTCCTTTTTGTGTACAATGGTATTGATGGCTATAGGTTACTTGACAGCTGCACTACACCTGTTTTCTTTGTTGCCTCTCCCCATCTTTTCTACATTTGGGCCTGCTTAGCCCATTGATTGCATCATACATACCTTCAGATCAGTCAAAAGAAGAAAAATGGTCTATTGATGTGACTCAGCTAAATTTGAAGGGATTTGATTAATTCAAGTCTAGTTTAGTCATGGTTTTTAGTCTTATTTTCTTCAGAAGTTTTTGGGCAATTATAGTGTTAAATTCCTATATGTGATTTAGAAAGTTAAATAGAGATAGTTGAGTCTTTGTTGGTTTTGTGGAGCAGGTTAGACTTGATCATGATCGCAATTTGAGCCTAAACCAGCTCTGACAAGATCTGGACCTGGTTGGCCAGTATAAAGGTTTATGTTCAGCACTGTTGAAGTTTTGGGTGGCCAGTATAATAGTAGTTGAAATTTTTAGTTGATATTTTGGGTGGCCTTTCCTCCTATACCTAAAAGAATGTTTGTTAGAGGTGTTACTTCTAATATGAGAGGATTTCTCACCAGCTGGAAGGGTCAAATATGAAAGGAATTTTACAGCAGAAGATCAGATCCATCTCCTCTGAGTAGCCGTATAATTCTTAAAATTAGCAAGTCCCAGAGGATCAAAACATCTTTCTAATTATGCTGGACAACTAGATAAATCATTATAAAAATATATTCAGTTGACTTCATTTTTACTCAGAGTCCTGTTGGAGTCAAACATGCCTAGTACAATATTTATAATTCTCAAGTACAGTGTTTATAGTTCTCGAGTGTTGTGGCAAAGTCTTGAAAGCATGTAACTAAAAAGGCTTATGTTATGAGAGGATTAATTTATGAACAAACATATTAAAAATCAAAAGATTCGAGACAATGAACATGCACAAGAAAACAGAAAATTTTATTTTCTTCCAAAACTGGTGAAACAAAAAGAAATTCTAGACTAATCTTCAATTTGAAGTCGCTCTAGAATGTAGAAAATCCAATGGGGATCTCCCAAAAGTGATGGTCTCAAGGCACAAACAACCAACTTAAAGTGATATCCTTTCTCCACAAAAGCTGCTTATCAATTTTTCTGCTTTGTTTTCTTTGCCTGAATCCCTAGTATACCATAGGGGTATGATACAGGCAGGATCTGCTGATCCAACTGATTTTGGTCAAGATTGACCAATCCAGGCCAATATGATTGTGAATTTGCCAATGAGTTTATTCTTCTGGTCGATAAAGGACTAGCCAGTCCAACATGAAATCAACTGATCCTGACTGATTACAGACAATTTCAAGACCTAAATTAAATAATTTTGATGGAATTTGTCAATGGGGGGTTGATTCTATCAAGACTGCATATATGAAACCCTCTGCATATTTTTAAGTAGCCTTGTTCTCGATTCCTAATCCAATTAAAGTTTTAATCTACTTTCAAACCTCCATGTGTTTGTCCTGTGTCCGAACCAGTATGGCAAAAGTTGGAATTCCTATCAACATATAAGTAAATTATATATGTTTAAGTGGTGCACTATACTTGAGCAAATACTAATTATCCTTTATTTTTCATCAACCTAGTAGGTTGTATTATCCTGCATTTGAAAGATGTTGTGATCCTGTATCATGAACCTGTCTTTAACAAGATTCTTTTTTTATTTGATTCAACCATAAGAAGAGCTAGATATGGACTTCTCAAACATGAGGTTACATTATCTTTCAGAAGTTCAGATAGGCCTAATCCATCAACTTAAAATAAAATTTTCTTGAAGTCAGTTCTAGATGATGCCAAAGATTTGAACTATGTTAGCAGCCACTACATTCAATTTCTTCAACCATGGCCATGCTAAGTTGCTAACTTCAGTAATTACATTCACAAGATTATTTTCTCTTAAAAAATTACTTCATTTTTAATTAATTAAAAGATAATCTTCTATTCAGCACATTGATATATTTTTCAAAAATATAAGAAGATAGGACCAATAATATGTACAAATACCTCTATTGCACATTGGACAGCACTAGCCACTTCAAATTCCACAAAGCCAAAGCAAAACCCTTGCTGCTGCATTATGGTATGGTTAACCTTTTGTAAGCAAGTTTAAGAAATAAACTTTCAGAAGCCAATAGACAAAGAAGTGCAGATATACAAATTGAAAAAACCTTATGACTTCTAACTTGTATGCCACCAGGCTTGATAGGTCCGAACTTCTTGAATTCTTCATCAAGTTGTGCAGGAGTGGCATTCAAAGGAAGGTTTTTTATGTAGATTGAATAACCATCAACTGAGAAGATAACGGTTGACCATCAGAAAGAAAATACAGATGTAAAAGAAAGCCACAAAATAACTTTTTCCATAGACTTTCTGCAACCTTCTGACTCTTGTGTACTGTTGCTTTCACCAGCAGTAGAACCAGCAGAAGTATTATTAGGTGCAGGAGCTGGTGTTGGAACTGGTGATGCCAGTTGATCGATGTCGACAACTGCAGATCTAGAAGGAACAGGTGCAGGAACTGATGGAGGAGCATTCTCTTTCATGACTTTAACCTATTTAGCAATATGTTCAGTATCAACAGAAATTTAGGGCTATAATATGGTGTCAAGTGATGCAGTTTTACAATGTTTTGCAGAAGATACTAATTTTTCCAACCAAAAGATAGATATGCATTTAGTAGAACTTGCACCGTTCTAGAATTAAAACAACTGTGTAACAGTAAATATAGAGAGGTTGTTTGAGTAACTCAAACCATGGTCTCCAAGGAGCAACAAGCCATAAATCCCCAGCAACTTGGGATTGCTTAGATGAATCTTTTCCTGACACTAAGCTCTATTGAGGCCATATAACGACTCAAGCTAAGAGTTATCAAATCCTCTACCCCATCGTTTAGTACCATAGAGGGCCCCTTATCATTAATTTGAATGTTATTCAAGGACCGTCGTGCCATACCGAATTGATTGGTACCAGTGTACCATGTGTTGGTATAATAGTAATTACCAATTTTAGGAAAAAATCAAAAAATGACCAGATAATTAAAAAAATAATATTTCTAGAGTTTTTCTGTCCGAATTTATTTGTATATTTAGATAAGAATAAAGTGAATCTAAGCCATAAATGAATAAAAATTCTAGGTTATAAGAAGGAAAAATTGAATTTATTTTTTGGGATCTATCAAGGAACATCTTTGTTGCACGGACCTTCGTCGAAGGAAGTTGCACCCACCGATTAAGAATCACAAGAATGTGAGAAACAAAGTGAGACTGAGAGAGAGAATGAGAGCGATTGAGAGTGAATAATAGAGGGGGAGGCAGGGGATTTAAAACCCCAAAAAAGGCTTCAATAGTCAATTTGACCACTAGGACCAAACTATACCATATTTGGGTCGCTATCAATCAATTATGATTGGTACAAATCCGCATCGGCTGACATAGACAAGTTTCGACCATATGGGCTGATATATGACCCATACTAATGGTTACCAAGTTATATTTTAGCATACCGCTCGAAATAAGTTGGTCCATGTATCAGTTAATTGGCAAACGGTATATACCACTTGCTTCGTACCATTTCATGTGGTATGTCAAACCTTAATTTTATTTACCTCTCCTGAATGGAGCAATTATAGGTCTTCTTTCGACATGTCCAAATAATTATAAGCATGTTCTACTCTTTTGGTAACATCAACATCCAAAATCCATCTTGACAACCTCATTTCCCAACACTAACTTCTCTAACTATTAAGCATTCAAAGTCATGAACTATGTGAGGACCCTAAAAGTTATAACTATAATAATCTTTCCTCTAATCTAGGAGGCACACGACGATCATACAACACTTAGGAGGCAACTCTCTACCTTAATGATTCTACTTTAAGTATGTGATTGATACCTTCCATAAGTTTGTGATTGATACCTTTTGTAAGGGTGAGCTTTGATATAATAGTAAGATTACTCCTTTGCGACCTAAGAGACCAGAGTTTGAATAATGGAAAACCTCTCTATATTTAGAGGTAAGACTACATATATTGATCCTCTTCAAACCCTGTGCGACCGTGCACCGAGTATACCCTATTGATACCTTCTATTAACTATATTCTTGTTGAATAATAAATCTAGGATAACAAATTTTTTTGCTATTGGAAACTTTACGTTCAACAATTTAAATAATGTGTTCGAGTCTTCTCTTATGGTATTACTCACTAAAGTTATACTTCATATATTTAATCTTTAGTTCTACTTGGTCAAAATCCATAACTTTTAAATTCTCTCTCCATAGCTAATGTATATTTTATCTCAACTTGACTCTTATAAATCAAAACAATATCATTAGTATACAACATATAAACATGAAAGTTCATTATACACAAGTGGGAAGCCAAGTAGTTTCATCCATTGGGTAAAAATAATATAACTTTTTATAGTGAAGACCTAGGGCACATCCCTACACTTAAGGAACTAAAGCTTAATAAGGCCAGCCTTAAAGGAGGGACATTTCACTAAGCGGCTTATAAAGAGCTCATACAAGCTGGATGGCTTATCATCCAAGCCCAAACAAGAACTCTAAGTGGAGCAGAAGAGACTGAACGAGTTCAACATAGTAATTGTATTTTTACATGAATCCTAAAGCCTTTAAAAGTTGAAGAAAGGTCTCTATGACAGTCCATAAACGACCTAGGTTTGACCAATAGCTAGAATATAAAAAAATAAAAATGAAAAACAGCCCTTTTCTAACCAACATAGGAGAGTGGAGGTTGCCAAGGTGGGACAGGACCAGGCAGACCCATTACCATCAAGAATCAAGCTCTGCTGGTAATATTTGGAAAGCACTAGAGCCTCAAATAGGCCCAATGATGATAGGCCAAGTGGAGAAGCAAAGAAGAGACAAAGAAAAATTGATTGCCATGTATTTCAAATAAGCGGACATGAAAACCTCAAAGGCAATTGAGTCCAGTTTGTGATTCATTTTCAGCATTAATATAGATTATATCTCTTAATTTTAGAACCTCGGTTGCAGCTTGGGATCTTATCTCGAAGTATAGAAGTCCTGGTTAGAAGAAACATATTCTAACAGATTTAAGACTAATCTGTCATATAATCCTATAATGATAAAAACTTTCCACACAATCCATGCACCAATTTCCTAAAGTTGGAAATTAACCTATCATATATGATATCTGTCTTTGATTACCTCAGAATAACAATTTGAAATTCTTTTCCTCCCTAAAACCAAGCACATTATATTTATAGGAACTTTATCATAAACTTGTTTTGAATCAATGAAAACCATATGCAAGTTTTGTAAATAGATTCTATGGTTGATTTTCCAAGAATAAAACTAAACTGATTTTCAGAAATTCCCATTTTGTATCTGTCTTTATTTGATCACCCTCTCCCAAAGCTTTGTAGTTTGGCTCATGAAGTTATCCCTGATATTGGAGCCATTTCAAAGATATTCTTTATAGTTGTTCTTTGTTTTCAAACGTTCTGTCAAAGGGTTAATCAAGCTTACCTAGATCTGCCAAGCTCTCCCAAACATCTATATAGATATCATCAAATCCTACACACTTGCCCTTTCTTTTATTTTCTATGGGTCCTTTGCCTTTCCAGCCTAATTTTTTGGACACACGTAACATTTCTAACTGTTTTCACTATTTTTAGCCCTAGAACAAAATTATCAACATGATAATACATAGTTTATAAATAAATCATTTTCATAGGACATTATCATTTACATTGCCTTTTGATCATCACTCCTTATGCAACCATATATTAACCATGCTTTGTTAATTATCTTAAAATTTATATTTAATCATGCTAACAATTTTTTAGCTTTATTTCTAACTTATTTATACATCATGAACAGTATCTTTTTTCTCAAATTCTTCAATTTTTTGGAACTTTTAAACTTCATCATCAGACCACCAACTCTTACTCGACAGTCAATCAACACCATCACCTCTAGATTCTCCAAAACCTCTTCTGCCACCTCTCTGATCTCATAAATTATCAAAGTCCACAGGATACAGTGTCATTTTCTTTTGAACAAGTCCACAACCCTTCCTTCTCTATCCTATTTCTTTGATGTGCAATACATTGTTTGCTTTTAAATTCCATTGTTTAGTTAAAAAAGGACTATTTACTTTTCTTTTCCTCTTCTATTCCTCAAAACACAAATCTAAAACATTTAGCAGTAAGTCTTTACCAGGTATGTCTCTGCTCTTGCTTATAGATCTAATTACTAATATAGTCAAAAGAAATATTCAATGTAAATTTTCCACTGGTAATCAAATGTTCACCTCTTTATTAAAGTCAATAACACTTATGAGATGGACATAATAACCGCAAAATCCAACCTGCTTCATTATTTTACTTCTATTTATAACTTTCATGTACCATTCTTCTGCCCACTATTTTCTTATGTGATCATTTAAATTGCTCAAGAAAAATCCTTATAACTAGTCTTCGAATGAGACCATCTCATTTAATATTCAAAGCTCCTTTCCGATATAATCATCTAAGTCAAATTGTAGAGCATAAGTCCTATAACACTAATAATCTATTTCGCTAACTGCTTATACAAATTTTAATTGTGAAATTCTAGTAACAATAAGTTATAAATGAATAGGACCATCAAGAAAGTCCAAAAAGCTTTTCATATAAAAGTCAACTAAAGATGCCATGTCATATCAATATACTAAAATTTTCAGCATGAGTTTTCTCAGCATTCTAATGTATCAGAAGAGAAACTTGAAGCACTAAAACCAAATACTCTCGATTATAGATGCTCGGGTGACAAGTAAATTTCACTGAATTTTTAATTGCATCTAATAAGAACTTCGAAATAGACAAATTCTAGATAGAGCTGTTGACCATGCCATTGATAAGGTGTCTCATCAATTTCATCGGTTGCCTTCCATATTAACCATGTTTTCTTTTATGACTTATCAAGTTAAATTAATAAACGAGTATAGGCATTATTTGAAATAGAATCATGTATGCAACTAATAGGAAAATTTTCAGATCGCGAAATTTTGTAAAGTGCATGGTTCGCCTTATTGGTCCGTACCGATGTACCAACCAGCTACTGGTATGGTACATATGGAGTCATACCGAGCATACCGACACATGATACATGGAGGTGTACTAATATACCGCTCATACCGGTCCACTATCAAATTGGTATGTATCGCCGGTACCGAGCAATACACCGCGATACAACGAACCTTGGTAAAGTGAGCAACAAAGAGTTACCAGAAAGTCAGAACTCCTATGGACAAACTCTTACGATAGAAGCATAGGATTTCTTTGGTGCCCCTTCCAGGATAGCAGCAGAACCAGAATCAGCAACCACAGTTTGAGAAATTTTGGCAACCTCATCAATCATTTCTATCGTGGGGGCTTCCTCCTCAAGAGTGGGAGCATCCTCAATCTCTGGAGAATTGAACACCTCCTCCTCATTCAGTTCCACTTCTTCTGGTGCTTCAGTTACCTGTTGATCCTGTTTTGGAGGAGCTTCTGGCCCATGAAAATAAAGGGAAGTTAAGGACATTAGCACAGTCTTAGCATCAGTAAGTAATTATAATAGAACCTTGTTGCTGCTCCAAAGTCCCGTCAATACCCTGCTCAGGAGCAAGAGGTGCACGGTCGCCACTCGTCAAAGCACCACTTTCCCATTGGTCATTACCATCGTCGACATATCTAAATATGTCATTTAAGACATAGTAGCCCTTATCCTGAGTGGCAAGGAAGAAAGATTGAGTAAAGTTCCTCTTAACATCATCTTTCCCAGTAAGGTAACCAGTGACAAGCACGACAATGCCTCCATCAAGAGATTCCTGTGCGTCCACCGTCTTTATTTCTGCCCTGAATTCACTATAGTCCACGGAAAGTATCTTCTCATTGATTGCCTTACCATCAATCAAATAAAGCACCAAGTAAAAAGATGTCAAATCAGTAAATTTTGAAAGAGGTTAGATCAGACACAAAAACTCAATAAATAATCACTCCGTACATCAGATCCCCACTTCTCACCAGCAAAGTTCTCTCTCTTTTTTTCTTTTTGTCCCTCCAACATCAACCACACTCTAAAATTGGCAAAAGAACAAAGAATTGGGTGACTTCTTACATCCATGCCAGTAACAGAGCTCATTTCAGCCTGAGGGTCCGGCCGCCCAAGCTTGCTGGCCTCCTGATAGAAGCGAAAAACGAGCTGCGGGGAACGGTGAAGGACGTGGTAGTACTGATTAACGAAGGCGTTGCCGACCTATCACCACACACCACATTCAGGTCCAATAAACAACCCTCCACCCGATCGAACCAAAGACAAGAAACCCACATCGAGCGAGGGATCAAGAACCGTTACCACTTGAGCGGGGTGCGAAGATCCGACGGGAGCCGACTGCTCGGAAGCCATGCCGGTGATCGAACCCTAGATCGTTGGGGAACAGGGCCGAGGTACGCGGATCGAGGGGGGGAGGCGCGGCAGAAGCAGAGATCGAGCTCCGACGTCGGATCGAACGGAAGACAGATTGCGGCAAAGAGTCGAGTTGATTCGGAAGCTCTTCGACTCCACCGGTCTCTCTCGACCCCTCTCTGTAGGGTTTGTGATCTCCAAGAAGGGAAAGAAGAACAGCTCGGAGGAGGAGAGAGAACGATCACCGTTATAACTTCTCGTTTCCTTTTTTCTTTTTCTCCTCCGTCAAAGCATGGCTTGGGCACAGAACCTGTAGCGTCCGCATAACGAATTCTCGTGCGTTCAAGTTTGGACGGACTCGATGGACCGATGAGACACGTGGACGGTGGATGAATGGTAAACGTGTTGTCTTCGTTGGCATCGAGCGGGTTTTGGTTGCGGGGATCGAGTGAGTTCGGGTTTTCATGAAATGACAGCAAGGCGAGCGAGTCGACTCGCCGGGGCAACACGCGATCGGTTGGTTTTGTGACTTTTGTGGCAGCAGGCCAACTGACTCGCTAGAGCGAGTGGGGAGTGGACGAGCACGTGGGAAAGGAAGAGACGGCGGCGGCGTTGGATGTTATCTGCCCACGTGACAAATCACGTGACATGGTCCCGTGGCACACGTACGGCTATAAGAAAGCCGATCAGATCACCGCACGAATCTTGGAAACCAGAGAGGGCAACTCAAGACCGGATCACTACCAATTCCACATCCATCGACGTTGGAAGATACGACTTGTATCTTTCAGTATCATTATATCAACCAAGAGGGGATCATATGGTCACCGATGACTGGTATCGATAAATAAGGATCAGTACTAAATCACTCTCATAGTGATCTGCAGTTCAGAACTCATCCGTTAAACTTGATCAAATGATAAGAAAGTACAGAAGCTGTTCCAACAAGGCTTTCTCGAAAGCAGTGTATGTGTTTTCTCGAAGAAAGAGAATTCATCCAACAAGGATACAAGATCTGTATAGATAACATGGCTTGAGGTAGTAAATGCTATGAGAGGAAGAACATCAGTGAGGCAAAACTGTCGATCACAAAGTGCTGTGGATGCTTTCTTAGCAGCATGAGGAGGCCGAACCCATGGCTTTCCTTTCTTTCTTTTCAGATAGTGACCAGTCCTCCCATGGCGCCAGAGAGGCTGCCATATATATTCGACAAGTTGGATTACAACCACAGTAAGTTCTCCTGGTTCAGATAGCAGCAGAAGGATCATCATACTAAAGGTATGAAGTAACGCAATCAACTCTGATGGGGCATACATACATACATCAATATTATACTCCAACAGTGTTCTTGTGTCTCATTGGCTTGAATGAGAGAGAAAGATGTGTTCTTTTCAGCTTAAATGAAAGGACAACAACCACATCTCACAACTGCTCAAACCATTCAAAGAATAAGGTATATTATATTCATCTATTAGACAACCATTAACCCAAAATATACCCAATATGAACCACCAATCTCTAAAGCAAACCAAATCCATCTGAACATATGGTTTATAGCTCAAAAAGTTGACCTGTAAAATCATAAAGTGAGACAAAACTAAGCTGTCCATAGGAATAGATAAACATGAGGGTGCTCTACAACAAAAAAAAAAACTGGTCTTTAGGCTTTTTTGAGGCAATCAACCAATATATTTTATGAAAAATAAAAAGGACAATTTATCCAAGAAAAGTCTCAAGTTTTGGGTTTTACTATAATTTCTATAGTTGCCAAAGAAATATAATTTCCTTTCTAAAATGTGGTTTCCTATTTAAAATATAATTTCAGCTAAACTACTCTAATATTATATTGCTTCTGAACAAAGTTACAATATTTTGAGTTTATTTTCTGAATAGTGAACCAAAAAGACTATCATTGCAAAACACTACAATTGAATAATGTCTCATTATTTTTTTATTATAATTCATTCATAACGAATGATTATCTATGTTAAGGGTATTTTTAAAATATTTATAGCTAAATTTAAGACAGACAAAATAGAATTTTTATCTTGGTTTATTTTAAAATTTTATCGAGATCTTCATAATTTTCATCCAAAATCACATATTTATTATATTAATGAAAACTTTAATAATTAAAACTGAGTTATAATTTTCATCCAAAATCGATCAAGCTATTTACATGTTATTCATCATATCATAGTTATGCCTCAGTAACTATCATTCGGCTTATTATCACGGACAAAGTTCTAAACATGATGTTTGATGTAATACTTATATATGTTTGTGTCTTTCTGTTTATTCATGCTTTGCACAGCAGGTAGAGGAATGCTTGAAGGCTTAACAATCCCATTTTAATTGGGTTTGGTGGTCTTCTTAAACTTGTAAATAAATATTGTGTCATGTGGACACTTGTGAGAGATATTGGGTTTGTAATGGATTATTTTTAACCTTTTGTTGTGTAACCGTTCAGAGCTTATAAAGTTTATTTGTAATTTACATTATCTATAAAGTGTTTACTGAAATGTTTGCTTGTGGATCCTGAGTGAGACGTTTTGTCTAACCCTTTTTTCTTTTAGGTCCTAAAGGATCATGGGAGGTTTCAGGGATGCTGACATTTGCGGACGGACACGCAAGGGTATCTCATGATTTAAGCAAAACCAACTAAGTCTGTGACATTATAGTGATGAACAAATACTTTGCTTATTGATTTTTATTTCTTTAAATTAAAGTTATATATATATATATATATATATATATATATATATATATATATATTAAAAGCATTAGTAAAAGAGCCAATGCAACTATTATTTATCATGCGAACGAAGTTTCGAATGATGATTTCACATTGATTCTTGCCACTGATGACTATTATTTATCATTATTATTTCGTACTTTAACATATTGTTATAGCATCAAATATTTATTCTCTTTTTATTAAAAATCAGGTAGCATAAAAGGACGAGCCCTCTTGCAATGATGGCTAAGTGCAACCAAAAAGGATTACATCTACATGTTATCGGTCTTAGCCATGTTTGAGAAGGAACTAAAGCCATTCCTCGGAAATTGCAACTCATTATGTAACACGTACAAGATAGCCAATGAGACCATTATTGCAAGAGAATTGTGATGGATTGATTGCCAATGAGATCGATGAATTAATCAATTAAATAATATAAAATTAGTAATATTTTTAATAGATTTATAGTATTTTGATATATATGTCAAATATAATATAAGCTTATTCAGAAAAAATAAAAATCTTCCTATTTAATTGTTCTTATACATAAACAAATAAAAAAAATTTATGTTTGCTTGTATTGATTATAATACTTTTAAATAAACTTATAATATTTTGATAGAGATGTCAAAAATATTATAAATCCATTCAAAGACTTCATAACTATATGTTTTTTTATAAGATTAGTTCTGTATTTGTTTCCTAATTTTTCTTTATCGAATTGATCGGTCTCGTCTGATGATTTCGATACACGATCTTTCAACTAAGCAACAACGATATACTAATCATGGAGATGCGAGAACGACATCGACGACTTGCCTTGTGGAACTTATCATAACGTTTCATTCTTCTCTCTCTCTCTCTCTCTATCTCTTTATTACCTTACCTTTCTCTCTCTCTCTCGCTCTCTCTCTCTCTAGCTCTTTATTACCTTACCTTTCAGTCTTCTCTCTCTCTCTCTGTGTCTAAAAACCTCCTGCAAAAAGCTGTGCCCCCCTGAGAGGTGAGGGAAGCAGTTGAACAGTGACCAGTGCAGTGGGAGGAGGTTCCGCCTGCACAAAACACCTAGAAAAGGAATTGTGTCAAATCAACCAACCTTCGTCGCTTCGAGATGCGTGCATGGAACGGTGATGGGAGCTTTGGTCTTATCGCGTGAGTACGTACGTACGTGCGGTGGAGAAGATGATCGGGCGGACGACGTAAATCGACCGGCGGTCAGTAGAAGGAGCACGATGGGACTGGGATGGTTTTACCGAGGCGTGCATGAGAAGGGGTATGATCACCGCAGGTGTACGTGCCTAAGAGACAACGTACTGACCACAGTGAGAGAGAGAGAGAGAGAGAGAGAGAGAGAGAGAGAGATAGGGGTGCTGAGGTTATCTTTCCAAGAGGAGAGAACGCCATTGATGCTAAGCTTAAACCCTTCACGTTGAACCTTAGACACTAAAACCCAACTCCATCCTAAAGTATGTACATCCAAATCTGGATAAAGAAGGACAAACAGAGAGAGATAAAATAAATAATATATATATATATATATATATATATATATTAAAGTAAAATAATATTTTTAGATTTATTATTATTATTATTATTATATACAAAAGTACAAAGAAAGAGAGACAGAGAAAAGAAAAAAAAACACTTTGATAACTTTATATTCTTTTAATTTCTCTTTCAGTTACAAATAGACAATTCATATACTTGAATTCTCTCTTAGTTACAAAGATATCAATTTATATACTTGATTTCTCTTTTAATCACAAATAGATCAATTTATATACTTAAATTTCTCTTTTAGTTACAAATAAACCATAACTAATCTTCCATTGGGCTGTTTATAACAAGTTTAGTGCAGTAATATGATATTTGTTCTTTTTTCTTAAGAGATCAGAATATGTACAAAAGTAAATCTAAAATAATATTTCTATCTATCTTAGATGAATCACTTCTTTGACTTGGTAAGCCTTCAACCCTAGTTTCTCATGAAAAACGAATTATGTCCCCCTTCCAAACTTGCCCATCAAACTAGAGAGGGACTTGGGAGGGGAAAGATCATGGCCGGGGAAGTTAACTAGATAGAGAGGGAAATGAGGAGCAATGCAAACCTAGGATCTTATTGCCCTAATTAAGACTAACTCAGTTGGCTTTGGACACCTTTAAATTAGATATATTTGTGATAATTATTTAACATTACGATAAAAATAATTTTGGCAACCTAAAGCAAATTGTTATTATTGTCGTAGAAAAATATATCTCTAACAAATTGTTATGTATTTAATTAGTATATATTTTATTTTGTGGGAATGAATGATAAGTTAGTATATATTTTATTTCCAATATGTGTTCCTTGTATATAGGTTTTTAGTTGTTAGGAAATCTTTACGTCGTGGTCGAGGTGTCAGCACGACTCGGTCCAATACCAGATGTACAAGGTTACCCACGCGAATGCTCGGATGGTGGAAGTGAGCGTCGAGTCGGGTTGAGTTCGAGCCTAGTTTCCCGAGAGTGGTCTTCTCCCTTGGCGAGTTGCTTGCTCCTTCGTCATCAGCTCCTGCACACAGGTCAAGGTCGGGAGGGAGATTTCCCGACTCGACGTATCCGAAGTTTAAGTTAATGTTGAGCAAAGTTAGAGGGAGTTGAATGCTCCAAGTCCTCCCCCTAGCGTTGGTCAGGAGGTTGACTTTTATACTTGCGAAGGGGGGTCGATCGTACATGGTTCGTTAATGGTTGTCGACTATTTAAGTGATTGACTTGTACCTTGTGGACGAGCACCGACCGACTTGTACGGACCTGAGCTATGCAGCATTGTTCCAAGCTTTCTAAAACGGCTATGCAGTGTTTTGACGCTAAACAACGCGAGGGCATGTGGTCGTCCCGTTCGGGTCCGAGGTGCCGCATCGTGTCAACTTGGAGCTCCTTTATTAGCACTATCGTGGTCGCTGTTTATCACGTGGATGGTGCTGAAATATGCCATATCAATAATATTTTCATGAAAATATCAAAAATACTATAGCCTTATTCAAAAATATTATGATCAAACTTAATCAACTTATAAATCGATCTAAGCCAATGGATCAATCTTTTGCCTCATCTCATAAGGGTTATTTTGGGGTAGATAAAAATATGAGATACAAATACAAAAAGATTCAAAGGTTTTTCTGGGAATTAAAATTTTCGTAATTTAATTTAATTTTTCATGGCACCGCTAATTATACCTATTTATAAATATTTTCCAACATGTCTATGCAATTTTAATGACCTTCTTCTTTCATCAAAATTAATATACCACTTTTGATGCTCTCAGAAAACCAAATCCACTCATCTGTTCTTCCCACAATCTTCCTTGCCTATAAATTAAAGCATGGCACGTAGGCATGGTTAATTAATGGAGCCATGATTAGCCCACATTAAAAGAGTTAATTCGCTCGCCGTAGCCTTCGTGAGGAGATCTGTCACACACACACACAAACCACCTTTCAGCTCGACACGCTTTTTACCTGCGCTGCATCGGCAATCGTACTGTTTCCAGAGCTCAGCAGGAGTGGTCGTCGTCGTCGCTGTGGCAAACGATAACCGTCTCGCTTACCAACTCTTTTGGCCTGCAGCTGAGGGAATCCTTCTCCCTCCAACCCTTCCCCTTCACGCTTCCCATGCCCGAGAAGAAACACCACAAGTTTACCGTACGCAGAGAGACAAGAAGAAGCAGGCAAGCAAACGAACCGCCACATTCCTCGCCTTTCCTCTCTCTCGCTCTACGTAGGCGCGGAGATTTCAGACGGTGGGGACGGACGAGTGGGACCCGGCAGCAGCGACGTCGGCTCCGGAGGGCCCCACGTCTCGATCTCCATGACCGGGAGGCGGAGCTGCTCGGTGAGTGGTTCTCGCTCTGCGCGCCGCTGTTCATCAATGGCGGCTCGATCCGATCCGTTGTTTTGCGGGGTTTGTGTCTGCTGGACCGGTTTCATATTGGTTTATACCTCCGATGAGACATTTCCTGTTCTTCTTCTTTACGAAAAAGATTGTCTCTTTTGTTCTCTGCTGCGGAACGAGTTTGTTCTTACGTTGGCAAGAGTTTCTCTCGTCTTCAACATCCAAGCATTTCTCTCCTCATCCCCACAAATCTCTTCCTCTTGACGCGAGAGAGAGAGAGAGACAGAGAGAGAGAGACAGAGAGAGAGAAAAGGCACTTTTTCTTTGTACACTCCCAAATCGATCAAAACCCGAATAAAAAAACCCTAATGGGCGGATTCTCGATCATTTCCCCCCTATTTTATACTTGCGCATAGATTCTTCGCCTTTATCTTAATCTCGTAGTGCGCCAATAAAGAACCATGAGAGCATCCCACTGCTGCGAATCGTGTCATTATTTTATCCCAATCGTGTCATTATTTTATCCGATCCCTCTTGTTCTCTTGTCACAGAAAGAAATCGCTTTTCTCGTCGTTTCTGCGCATAAAATTGCATAAAGATGGCACCTTTCTCGCCCCCATCGCGTCTTCCCAATCCCGAGCCTTCCGAGAACCACAACACCACTCCGGTTAGTGTTCGGTGGGTGCCATCGTGAGGCTTGTGCTGGGATTCCGATGTTTTCCTGCAGCATGGACTGGTCGAGAAGCACACCTCCCCCACTCCGGTTCTCATCTACCTCGAGAGCTCTCAGAGTAGTGTAGTGAGAGACTCCTTTCTCTTCCTCTCTTTCATCTCTCTCTTTGTCCGGGCTTAGGAGGTATTCCTTTTATTAGCTGTCATTTAAAGCCGGCTTTTAATGCGGTTCAGGGGAGCTTCTCCTGGCCATCTCCTCCAGCTGGCTCCGAGGGAGACTTGTGTGGTGTGGCCTTTTGTTCTGCTGCTACAGTGGAGTGGTAGGTTCTACTATAGCTGCTGTTTTCGCCTCTTCTGCTTTCAATAAAAAAGGGTCTTTTAATGCTTGGTTGTGGTGTTGTGAGGGAAGAGGTGACTTAATGCTGGCTGGTTCAGTTTCACTTCATTGTGTAAAGCAGTTGCCAAAGCCGACCGCCAGCCACCATCTTCCTCTCGTGGGCCCTTTCATTTTATTTGATATTTTGGATTACCTCCGTTGCTTGCCACACTGTTCACATAAGCTTCCTTTTCCTTCTGCTTCCGGATTTTAAGGCAGAGTCTCCGTGAGGAATGTAAAACTTGAGGTGGAAAGCAAAGAAGATCACATTCTTCTCTGTGAGTTCTGGTTGTGTTCGCTTAACTGGTGGTCTCTACCATGCCATCTTTATGTTAGTTTTGTATGTAGTCATGGTAGTGGATTCCTACGTATCCATTGCGCACTGTTGAAGCTAGATGATGGTGATTACAGGTGTTCAATTCGTACATGGTACTCAATACTCTTTTGTTGCCTTTTTTCCTCTCAGGAATGAGGCTTGTTCAACGGGGCTGTTGATGAATTTGTATGTCCAAGCTCAAAATTAAGTTCTGGCAGCAAAATTAAATGGTAATGTTGTCGTCTTCTCATGTTTGGTTTCTTTTCCTGTTGTCGTTACTGCATATCTTTCTTTCTTATGTATTTGATTTTCCTAGTCGAAGTTTTGATATTTGCTTTCTTCTGAAAACATGAATTAACCTCTAAGCTGTATATTTGTCTTACTTCAAACATTTTATTGAGGAAGACAATAAAATTGCATTATTTCATTAGTGGGATTTCTAAATAAATCTCTTTACGGATGAATGGCTGAGTCAACAAACTAAAAAGTGAGTTCTTGTTAGCCATCCAGTAGATTCTTGCAGATGGATATATGTGTTTCATTGATTTACCTTTGCTCACACATTATCTTGTGTACTAGACTATATATTACCCTTCCTCAAACTATGTTTCATAGTTTTCCTGTATGCTCACAATGCATGCTACAAGAGTTAATTATTTCAGTTAAGATGATAGAAAAACATAGTGGCTTTACGATGTAATTAGTTGCAGTAGTTTGGTAGTTCTTTGTTCTTATGGATTTCTTCTTGAATTTTTTGCATATTTGCTTTCCTCCACAAATTATGATCTAAACAGCTAGCTAGAAAGGGAAGGAATGTATTGTGCACATCATATTGAATGTATTTTGCTTTAGTTATCCAGATAGCGCCTCCTAAATCTAGAGGCTGAAGTTCTCTATACATCAGACTTTATCGATTTGGAATTAGCAAGTTATCTGCGTAGGATGTCAACAAGAGGAAAGAAACCTCAGATGCTTCGTGCCTTCTCATTCTTCATCATCCTCATTCTCTGTATGCCCATCTCGGATGCAACTTACACTGGTGATATCGAGGAGTTGTTCACTCTCAGAGATTCACTTGCTGAAAGAAGAATATTCCTATCTAGCTGGTTCAATGTGGAAACTCCATGCAACTGGTCAGGCATAACTTGTGCTGGTCCAACAGTCCAGGCTATAGACTTATCTTACACACCCCTTAACGTACGAATCCCGAGCTGTCTTGGGGAGTTCAGACATCTCAGATTACTGAACTTTAGCAGTTGTGACCTGTCTGGTCATATTCCAGAAACATTTGGAGATCTGCAAAATCTACAGTCCCTGGACTTAAGCAAGAATCATCTATCTGGAGTCCTTCCTTCTTCACTTGCAAACCTGCAAATGCTCAGGGAACTTGTGCTTGACACCAATTCCTTCTCTGGAGGTTTGAGCACTATTGTTGGACATCTTAAAGGTCTCACAAAGCTTTCTATCTCAGGGAATTCTTTCTCAGGTAGTATTCCACCTGATATAGGGAACTTACAGAATCTGGAGTATCTGGATTTGAGCATGAATTCTTTCTCTGGGCCACTACCTAACAACATGGAAAACCTCAGGAGACTCTTGCACTTGGACGTTAGCCGAAATGAGCTGTCTGGGTCCATATTTCCTGGCATTGGTTCACTTGGAAATATTATAACCATCGACCTTTCTTCCAACAGCTTCACAGGAGCTCTGCCAAGTACTATTGGGAAATTGACAAGTTTGGAATCACTTTGGCTGGGACTGAATGGCTTCACTGGGAGTCTTCCAGTAGAGATTGGCAACATGAAGATGCTCAAAGTTTTCTCTGTCCACAGTTGCAAGTTAACAGGAATTGTTCCTGAGGAAATCTCTAACCTGAGAAACTTGACAAATTTAGACATTTCAGAGAACAATTTTGAAGGGGAACTACCGCAAGCTATTGGAAATTTGGTGAACCTTATGTACCTGGTTGCTGCTGATGCTGGGTTAAGTGGGTCTATACCAGCACAGCTAGGAAACTGCAAAAATCTAAAGATCCTAGATTTGTCATTCAATTTCTTTTCAGGTCCTCTGCCTGGGAGCCTTGCTGGACTAGATGCTGTTACTACATTTATTGTCGAAGGAAATCATCTGGAAGGTCCCATTCCCACCTGGATTTCAAATTGGAAGATGGTGAATTCCATAAGATTGGGCAAGAACCTTTTTAATGGATCTTTGCCTCCACTGAATCTGCCATTTTTGACTTCATTCTCTGCTGATGCCAACCAACTCTCAGGAGAGATTCCTCCAAAGATATGTGATGCCAAGTCTTTGTCGTCTCTCTCTTTATCGGAGAATAAACTGACTGGCAGCATTGAGAAAACTTTCAAAGACTGTTCTAATCTCACTGATTTGGTCCTAGTGGGGAATAACTTGTATGGTGAAATACCAGGCTATTTGGGTGAGCTTCCCCTTGTGACACTGGAATTATCACAGAATAACTTCTCTGGAATGGTTCCTAATCAGCTGTGGAGATCTCTGACCATTCTGGAATTATCTTTGAGCAACAATCAGCTTAATGGTCACATTCCAAGCAGCATTAGTGACATTTTGGAGAGGTTACAACTGGACAATAATTTCTTTGAAGGAACTATACCAAAATCAATCGGCTATTTGTGCAACCTCACCAATTTGTCTCTTCATGGAAATAAATTATCTGGAGTGATACCACCAGAGCTTTTCAACTGCACAAACATGGTGGCACTGGATTTGAGCTTGAACAATCTGACCGGTTCAATTCCAGGAGCCATATCTCAGCTGAAGTTGCTTGACAATTTGGTCTTGTCTAACAACCAACTTTCTGGTCATATTCCCTGTGAGATCTGCGCTGGGTTTCAGCAGGTTGCTTTCCCTGATTCAGAGTTCACACAGCATTATGGTATGCTTGATCTTTCTTACAATAGTTTAACAGGTCAGATTCCTGCAGCCATTAAGAATTGTGCCGTTTTAAAGGAACTAAGGTTGCAAGGCAACATGCTCAATGGAAGCATCCCTCCTGAGCTGGCAGACCTAACGAACCTGACCTTCATTGATCTGTCATTCAATTCTCTTAGTGGTCCAATTCTTAGTCCGATTCTTTCTCAGCTTTCTCCCTTGCAGAACCTCCAAGGTCTTCTCTTGTCAAACAATCAATTTGATGATCTCATTCCAAGTGAGTTGAGTTTGATGCTCCCAAGCTTAGTGAAGCTCAATTTGTCATCCAACAGGCTGACTGGTTCCATTCCAAAGTCTATATTTGATATCAAGACATTAACAGATATCGATATAAGCCAGAATTCACTTTCTGGACCAATCCCATTCACTGGCAGCATTGCTAGGGGAACAAGCTCCCTTCTGATATTCAATGCCAGCAACAACAATTTAAATGGTGCAATATTGGAGTCAGTGTCAAATCTGACCTCCCTTGCAGTCCTTGATCTCCATAACAACAGTCTCATTGGAAGTTTGCCATCGTCACTTTCCAAACTTGATTATCTGACTTATCTTGACCTGTCTGATAATGATTTTCTTGGTGATATCCCTTGTGGCATTTGTGGTATCACTGGACTTTCTTTTGTCAACTTTTCTGGTAACAAGTTAGACAGGTACTCAGAGGATTGTGCTTTAGTGAATTCATGTCTGTCACACCACATCCTTTCCTCTCCCGTTGTCCCTTATCCACCATCTCCAACACTAACTGAAAGCTCAGTCTGGGGTATTACTCTTGGTGCAGCTATAGGATTGGTAGCTCTGCTATTTGTTTTTCTTAGGTGGAGGGCAATGAGGCAGAAGTCTTTGGACCATGTCTCTGCTGACAGGGCCAACTCAGCAATCATTGAGCCAGCCTCCAGTGATGAGCTACTGGGAAAGAAGTTGAAGGAACCATTAAGCATCAATGTAGCCACATTTGAACATGCTCTGCTGCGGCTAACTCTAAGCGATATCTTGAGAGCTACTGAGAATTTTAGCAAGGCTCGCATTGTAGGTGACGGTGGTTTTGGCACTGTCTACAAAGCAGTTCTGCCTGAGGAATGCATGGTTGCAATCAAGAGGCTTTATGGTGGAGGCCAGTTCCAGGGTGACCGCGAGTTCCTGGCTGAGATGGAAACAATTGGGAAAGTGAAGCACCAGAACCTTGTTCCACTGCTCGGGTACTGTGTCTTTGGTGATGAACGGTTCCTGATATACGAGTATATGGAAAACGGGAGCCTCGAGATATGGCTGAGGAACCGAGCTGATGCTGTTGATGTGCTCAGGTGGCCTGTAAGATTTAAGATTTGTCTAGGATCTGCCCGTGGCCTTGCCTTTCTGCACCATGGTTTTGTGCCTCACATCATACACCGAGACATGAAATCCAGTAACATTCTGCTAGACAGAGACTTTGAGCCAAGAGTCTCAGATTTTGGTCTTGCACGTATAATCAGTGCATGCGAGACGCATGTCAGCACTGATCTAGCAGGGACATTGGGGTATATCCCACCGGAGTATGGATTCACAATGAAAGCCACCGTGAAAGGAGACGTTTACAGCTTTGGGGTGGTGATGTTGGAGTTGCTGACAGGAAGGCCTCCAACGGGAGAAGAGGAAATGGAAGGTGGTGGAAATTTGGTTGGTTGGGTAAGGTGGATGGCAGGGCAGGGAAAGGAGGCTGAGGTGCTTGATCCATGCTTGTCAACTGGTGGCCTTTGGAGGGAGCAGATGATGCAGGTGCTTGCGGTTGCCCGGGCATGCACAGCTGATGAGCCATGGAAGAGGCCCAGCATGCTCGAGGTTGTAAAGATGCTCAAGGAGGTCAAGATGAAAGAGGCCGGTGACACAGTCACCAGAGATGTCTGATCTGCAGGTATGTGACTGAGGAGATTCAAAGTAACACAATCCTTATCATCATGTATCATATTGGAAGTTAGGATGCATACAACTAAGCTAATTGTAGTAAAATGAAATGGTAGATTTTATATTTTATATGTGGAGGTGACATTCTAGCTCAGTTAGATCACTATAAGGACCACCAAGCTTTCTACAAATTCACTTGTAAACTTAGCATCGCTCTAAAATTTTCCTTTCCTGGAAAAGTGGTTTCTTGTCCTTAATGTTCCCTCCAGAAATTATGAGACTTGGAATTTGTTTGTTATGCTGATGTCGTCGGCACTGACTCTTGGAAGGCTTTCGATTTAAAATGATGTGAATGAGCTTGCTGTTTAATTCACAAGAAGTCTTATAGAATCCATTCTGGTGTCCTCTGGAGTGTTAAGAGGGCTCAAGCAGGAAACCGGCATTTAAATGTTGGCATCCTCAAAGACTTAAACCTCTTGAAGGGAACTTGGTCATTGAAATTTGTTCCGATAAAATGCAGAAATCTGGCATTATTTTTCCATCATGTTTTAACAGCATGATAGCATTAGGCGACGAAGTCACGAAGCACATTTTCATCACCGATACAACCATAACATGTTTCATCAGAGATGAGTAGTTGAATTTACTAGGAAGTTTCTTATTGAGAAATCCGGAAACCTTTCTTCCATTTGATTAAGCTCAATGAGCTGAATCAATCTGGTCTTTTGAATAAGGTTACATGTTAAGGAAATTAATCCATAGTGTTTTCATGCTTTGCTTACTCTTGCTGGCTGGTTGTAGCTTGAGGTCAAATTCTATTAGTTGTTGTCAGGGAACCTTTGTAGAAGCAAACTTTGTGAGCTGACAGATGAGCCTTGATTAGGTAATAACAAGATTGTTTTTGACAAAACCTGAAGAGAAGCATAGGTAATAACAAGATTGTAGAAGTAAATTCATTCTTTTCCTTGTTACATTTAACTCCAGCTTTGTTTGATGAGTTCAAGATTTGAGGTGATGAATGATGCTGTATGTTTTAATCTTGGTTCTCTGGCAGTGAGTTCTCAAGTAATCTCTGAACACATTATTATAGCAGTGTTTATTTAATGTACTGTTCTGCTGTGACTTTTCAACTGCATTGCAACAGTGAAACCGAAGTGTTGCATAAGCCTTTTTGACCCATTGTGCATGATCATGTGATCTTGTTCCTCTTGTTCTACTTTGTTCTTTCTTTTCATGATTTCAGATCATTAGCCTTTTTGATTCCACTAAATTTAGCTTTTGATGACCAGTGAAGAAAAGAAAGGGACTTCAGATTGGGTGTCTACAATATCTATAGATTCTGTACTGCTTTTTCTCTGCACTTGCACAAAAAGTAAATCCAGATTCACTCTTGAGATTTGCCATCATAGATCTGTATCCTTTTTCTATCTGAAACAGTAGAATAAAGAAGTAGACATCGGATAGATTGGGACTCTAAAGTCCTCGTAGTGCTCTGATGATTCCCAAGTTTGATTGCGATATGGCCATTATGTTCGACCATACTGGACGAGTCTACTCAAAACCTACTAAATATGTTATTCTACTTTCGGAGATGACAAAAAAATGTTCATTTGACATACTGATATGTCTGTCTTGAGATAGTATGATTTCATCAAACCAGTGGTTGCACATCATACAAAGCGATCTCTCTAGGAATGACTTGATTCTCCAACTTTGAAATGAATACTGTTCTTACAGACTTTTTATACTCAGCAGCAAGTGAACAAATACTAACTTCGCCGTCGGTCGGATGGGTTTTCTAGTAATTCGCTGTCGGAAATTTGAACAGTTGTGTTATGGTAATATCACATAAACGCGCTCCTCCCTCGCGCCCACTATAAAAGAGGTCATATAAGTATACTAAGAGATACGTCATGTAGGTATGCTAAGGGATACTAAATAACTTAGGTTCGATCTATCCGACTTGTCCATTCGAATGTTCAACTCGATGAGTTCAACCTCGAGAGACTAATATAAAAAAAAGGATTAGATGAGCCAAAATCCACTCTTAACGCTACTTACTAATTACCTAAAGTTAGTTTAAGAGATATATAAGTCTTTTAGTTCCCACGTATTCATTCTCTCTCTTCCATATTCGGATTGCAATTTCATCACTACAACGATATATACGCAATTTCGACTTATTCTCTTTTAATCTTTTTAATATTTCGAAAAAAATATTATTAACATTTTTCTATATATCTCAAAGCACTTTTAATGACCGTCCATCGTGCACCTGCAATCACGTCTGATGCAGCCACCGGCCGTTACGGCTGGTAATATCGGTTCGTATGTTTGATCGTTGCGAACCGGTAGAAGAGCACAGCGGAAGACCCGTTCCCGTCCCCCGACAACTCTGTCCTCCACCACCACCAGCCACAGCGGACGATGAGGAGGAGGAGGAGAAGAGAGAGAAAGGACGAGTGAGATGGTGTACGTCTCTTGCCCGCACGATTTAAAACGACGGCACGGAGAAGCACTTGGATTAATCGTTCGACGACGATCCCCCAAGAGGACACACTCTCGACATCTCATCCCCTCCCTCATTCGGTAAGGTTCGATTTTCTCGCCAATTACTCTTTTGTTTTCCTTGCTCTCCTTCCTAATGTCGTCTTTGTTGTTGGATCATGAAAAGATCGGATTTTTTGGCTGCTCTCTTGGTCTCGGAGGAAAACAATGCGACGCCTGCTCTATCGATGTTGGCGGTCTTCGCCCGTGGACTGAGTCGGCAAAGATGCAATCTTGTTTGATGCAGGCTTCTTCATCGCCGGATCTCGAGCTCGATCGATGGGCTTTTGTCGTAGATTGTACTCTGTGTCTGCTGGAAATCGACTTTAGGTTTAATCTTTTCGGGGTTTTCCGGTAAAAATCTGATCTTGGAATGGAAGGAAGGGAGCTGCCGCGCCGCATGATGATGTCGGAGCAGCTGTCCAACGTTGATTCTTCCGATCCCCGAGACCACGTCAAGGTTCGGGAGGAGGACGAGACCGACCAATCTTGCCGCCAGAGCAGCGATTCGGTGGCTCTCACGTGCGAGAAGAGGGAAAGCTCCACGGCCTCAGGCGGCCTCCGCGGCGGCGGAAGGAGGCTGTTCGACGTCATCCAGCAGGTGCGTGAGGCGAATGCGGCCGCCGCGGGCGGGAATTCCTCCGGCAGCGGCTCCAAATGGAAGTCGTTAAGGGACCGCATCCGCCGCGCCGGCGCAGCCTGGGCAGCGGCGTCCTCGGCCCAGCCTCACCCCATTTCGGACCCCGAGCTCGTTGTCCCCTCCCGCCGCAGCCCCTTCCTCGGCCGTTCTGTCTCCCGCTCGGTCTCTGTGAGGAACCCGTACCCGATCTCCGACCCCGAGCTCGTCGTCTCCTCCCGATCCAACCCCGTCCGCGACCGCTCTGTTTCTCTCTCCGTCTCCGTTCGGAACTCCGAGCCTCCCGTCCCAGAACCCACGGTCATGGCGGCGGCCTCGGAGAAAGCGGCCGCGGTCAGCAGCGCAGGAGGAAACACAGAGTTCGGCGGCGGCCAAAAGTACGTTCCTGGCGGTACCTACGATTCGTCGCCGCTGGCCGCCGCGCGAGCGGAGGAGGAGGAGGAGGAGGAAGAGGAGGAGGATGATGATGATGAGGAGGATGATGATGATGATGATGATGATGAGGAGGAGGAGGATGAGAAGGGGGACGGGGAGGGAGAGGGAGGGGAGCAGCCGGCTAGGATGTCATTAATGGCGTTACTGGACATGCAATGGGGCGGAAGCGGAAAGGAAGGGTTAGAGGCGGAGGAGGAGGAGGAAGACGAGGAGGAAGAAGAGGAAGTGGCGGAGGAGGAGGGGGAGGGGGCCGGAGATGGGATGTTGTACGTGTGCTGCGTGTGCATGGTGCGTCACAAGGGGGCGGCGTTCATCCCCTGCGGCCACACCTTCTGCCGCCTGTGCTCCCGTGAGCTGTGGGTCAGCCGCGGCAACTGCCCCCTCTGCAATGGCTACATCCTCGAGATCCTCGACATCTTTTAGCAGCTTTCCTCTCTCGATTGCCATCAAAACTCTTTTTTTATCTTTCTCTCTCAATTGCGCCTTCTTATAATAATAATAATTCAGCAATTTTCTTTTGTTAGGATATAAGGAAGCGGAGATTAGTGTCCAATTTAATTTGATGATATGTTAAAACTGTTGTTAGGTGTCCCATTTGATGTCATTTTTGCTGGGTTATTATAATCCATGAAGATGGGAGAATAATCTGTTGGTAATAATTATGTAACACATTATGGGGGATTAATATATTATATTAACGAGCACATTGTTGGATGCTGATGCTGATTGATTGTTGGGGTTTCTCTCATGCTTTGTCCTTCCTGCTCATCCAAGAGCTCACTATTCTGATTCATGTCAAGTGCACATATCTCTCTCTTGTAAGTTTGTTTTAAATCGATTTCTAGATTATTTTGATTGCAAATGAAATGATAAACTTTATGTGCCAAAAAATAATACTAATAAGACTTGACTTGGTGGTTTCAGTATTGGAACCTAAAGATTATTAATGTTCTATCTGTATTGTTGTTATATATATACATAGAAAGGTATTTTACTGAGAAAAAACCTCAATGGTGGGGTTTTATCATAATATTGTGCTGCCATATTTTTTTATTTACTAAGGTACCTCTTTTGTTTAAAATTTTAAAAATATCATTCTAATTGGTTCGACCCGACCCTTTTTATCAATGTTATCGGTCCGATTCAAACTTGATTGAATTGGTTCGGTCTAGATTTAATTGATTCATATCGAATCCTTTCAAGTGAATTAAATTGGATTGTCGGCTGGGTTGGATTTGAATCTAAAGGTAAGAAAGACAAAAAAAAAAAAAAAGGATTTCATTGAACAAATTTTACCTTATTTTGTACGTGGTAGCGATGGGTAGTCCTCTCCTCTCTGATGGCAAACGATGGTGGCATTCTCCCCACTTTGATAGTAGGGGCAAAGTAACCTATGCTCCTCTTCGTAGCGACATCCTTTGTAGCTTTGTTAGAGGTATCATCGGGCAATGACGTCCTTATCTCCTCTTTAGCGATGGCAACCTTGTCACCTCTTCGATCACAAACGATATGATCTTTTTTCGACCATAAAAATAAGATATTGAAAAGAACCTAATTTTTAATACTATTATAATGTCTTATAGAACTTTGTAACCGAGTTGAATAAAAAAAAAGAGTGGCTAATATATCTTCGAAAAAAATCTCTTATTTCATCACTTATTGACTCTAAAATAAAAAATATATATATAAATTAATATAAAATATGTTAGTAATATATTATTATATTTTTAGAAAATTTTAAGTAGATTTGGAGATAATTAGAGAGAGATTTACAATTGAGTTACACTCAAGTTATACTCGGGCTACAGTTGAGTTACACTATATGATAGATTTAATGTAGGAATCCCATATTTCACGATCAAAAAATTAGAGAGAAAAAGAAGATACAAAACATGTTATTATTCTTTTGGAGAAGTTTGGTAAGTTTTGAGAGAATTTCAATATTTACACTTTAATTACATTAGGCTTATACTCAAGTTATACACACATTATATTCGATTACAAATTCAATATAGAAATCTCGAGATGATTATAAAGGTGATAGTTAGGATAGTTTTTGAAAAGTTTATATGTATATGTTTGAATTTATATTTTCTTTTTATCCTATAAACTTTAGATATGCATCTTCTATTTGTAATCTTGAATTTTGCAAGTATATACAAAATTATGATATCAGTATGTAGATTCTTTAGACTTGGCATAAAGAAGACAACTGAAAGATTTATATTAATAATTATCAAGTAATATGCAAGTAATTAAATTTTATTTTTAGGTTTAAAGTCGAAGAAACTTTAAACACTTATTCCTCCTTTTTATCTCCTGCAACATCACCCTTTCATATATCACCCACTCCTACATCGACCCTCCTTCACGGTCTCTTTCTAGATATATAGTTAATAGTTAACTTTTATATCGATTATTTTAAATGTTTTGTTTGTGAACCTAAATGTCATCTTTATGTTCTTATGATAATATTTTTTATTATTTAACAAATATTCTTAATATTTTTATATCTCTAATATTTTAGAATATTAGATAGAAGGATCCACTTTTATTTTTGATGGTGTTGCAATTGAGTTTAGTTCGAGTGATATTGCTTTGATTTTAGGGGTTCCTAATCATAAGTCATAGATATTAAAAAACGATATTAGGTTAGACATTTGAGAAATACTTTAGAGATCAACTTCTAGTAGACAAAATATAAAAGATTTGATGTTAACATCATCAATTTTTGTTGGTTATATATTTTGTATATTTTTGTTTGTATTTTATCTTATCAAACAAACTATACTTCATCCCTCGCATTACTATCTTATATCAACGATCTGAATTCATTAACAAATTACAACTTAGTGACAGTTGTCTATTCTTACATTGCTATTAAGATTTTTACTGTTGGTGCTCATATAAAGAAGTTGAAGCTTGAGGATAACATCAAGTTGATTGGATATCTAAGGAGCTGTGTACCACTTTTGATGGTAAGCTGAATCTCAATTTTTATATATGAAAAATTCAGTACATATTAATTAATTTTGATTCTTAATTTTGTTAATTTATTGGTGGGTATGATGACTATTCGAGTATATGGGTATGTTTATACCATCTCATTATTCTAATTATCTTGGACCATGGAAATGGGATCCGATGAGTATCAACAACTAGAATATTCTTCATTTTAGTCGATAACTAAGAATAAGATAATATTTATTTATCAAATAGGTATTAATTTGGAGATATAGATATGTTCTCTATAACTATTGTATATGCATACAATGCAGATATATCAAGTGCTTATCCCCGACAACTATTGAGTCTCATCTATTACCAGTTGAGAATACCAAGATATAATAATTTACTATTTCCCATCTATATATTTAAAATATACCATTTATTTGATATATTAAACTATTTATAGAATATGTGCGTTGGTGAGGACGAAGAATGTATCGAGTGTAAAAAGAAATAAGATAAAATTAAAATATTACTTAAGATACTAGAAGATAATGATCGTTTATTTGTATCCTTTGATGATCATCGATCAAGGGCTACTCCATTTACAATTTATATGGTATATAGGTCGAAAATATGTCAAGCCTTAAAAAGCAGCTCATATTTTTTAAAAAAGAAAAAAGTTATCTAAAGGATTTTGAGATATTAGAGTTAAGTGGCAAAAAGCCTGATGATGACTTATGTCATATTGTCTTACTAATATGATAAATGTTATTGTAAATTGCTTCGATGTGTTTGGTTTGTGATTATTGAAAACATGTTTGTATTGTGATTCTGTCTGTATATGTGGTTGTGATGGTTTCCACTTGCGTGTGAAAATAAGATTAGTTGAATTTATGATTGAGTGTAACTTAAATGTAATTCGATTGTAACTTTAAGTAATATTTTTCAAACCTATCGAGCTACCCAAATAACTATAATATAATAATATGATTATAATAAGTTTATATTACTTTTCCTAATTGTTTATAAATTTTGAGTGACAAATTGTCCATCTGGCTTCAAGACCACACCAAATATAATAATATGATTAACATGGACTTCAGCATCACGCATCGATCAATGACAATAATAAAGCAAGAAGATAGCATAAAAAAGAGTACAAATCAGATAACATTCAAGAAATCAAAACTTCTAAGCCTGTATATAAAGACCACACCAAATAAATTTTGCTCTGCAAAATGAATCCAGCATCAAGCTCGACTTACTGTAGCATTAACTCAACAATAATTATTTGACAAGTAACATTTTCTTATAAATAATAAAAAAAAGAGAGATGGCGATTTATAGAGAGGAATAAAAAGAACCATGTTTCCTACATCAAGCACTTAGTTTTACAATTGAGATACTAAACCTTAAATTATTCTAGTTTGCTAACTCATGAGAGAGAAGTAGAGGGTTCTCAGACCAGCCAAAAGTTTCAAAAGAACCACTAAAAGAAGAGAAAAAGAGATAAATAGTTCACTAAATAAAAACCCTCAAGGAAAATTAAAAAGAGAGAGAGAGACAGAGAGACAGAGAGAAGCTATCACTATAAGCATCAAGTGTTAGTCAAACGAGAGAAGCACACGATCATAAATCACCATGCAACTTTTGAGTCCTATCAGAAAAGAGTCAAAATTCACCAGAAAATTTGAAATAATTTAAATATCTAGTTAATGTATGTCATGAATATTGAAGGTTAAGAAAGAATAAACAGAAGCTCCAAATTGGATGTTAAATGGACAAAAGTAGTTCTGTTGCAGTGCAAAAATTTTAGACTAGATTAGAATAGTTCGAACAACAAAAAACAGCAAAACAGTTTTGGCACATATGTACCTTGAATTAAGGCTTATTTTATCATTTACATCTACAATTTAAACAATCCATATTCGGTAATTGGCCTTCCAAAGAAGAAGCAAAAGTATTAAATCGAATGCCTAAGAAGCATAGCATTGATGAAAAATTAAACAAGATAAAATATCATTTAGGCAGTTTTGAACTTTTATTCCACTAGGAACTAAAGAAGAAATCAAGTTGAAAAATTAGAAAAGAAACATGGACAGATATGTTGTAGTGGCTGGCAAGCTGATGCCTTCAGATTAGGTCATATAAGCCTCTAGCACCACCAAGAGTTTATTTACCTACATGCAGAAACAAAATAGGAAAGCCTATGCCTGCATTCTTCTTAAGGGTCAAAATACAAGCACACATCTTCGAGTTCAAGCATCAAGCAAAGATCTGCAAATATGACCTATCTTGCCCTACCAGCAAAAACAAACTGCAATCTGGATTAAGCAGTGGTCTGTAAGGGGACCTTAAGTGCTAAAATTTCATGCTATGCTGCTCAAAAGCTATTTAATCTTTAAGCCACGAAGCATAACAAAGAATTTGTGGTGTTACAAATCATGTCCTACTTATTCAGCATCAGAATCTAATATCGTGAATTGCAGTAAACAGTCCAACATTATCATTCAGCACAAAGCAGGTTTCACTTACAAAAATCCAATGTGGAA